CCCAGGCTCTGTACAGTTGCATGTGACCTCCCTGCTCCTATACTGAAATCTTCTTGCTGTGAAAGCTAACATACCATTGATCATCTTCACCACATGCTGCACTTGCAAGCTTACTCTCAGCAACTGGTGAACAAGGACACCCAGGTCTTGTTGCATCTCTCCCTTTTCCAAATCTATTGCCATTCAGATAATCTACCTTTTCTATTTTCGCTACCACAGTGGATAACCTCATATTTATCAACATTATACTTATTTTTTTCTTTCTGCCATGCATTTGCTCACTCACTCAACTTGTCCAAATCACTGTGAAGCATCTCTCCATCCTCCTCACAGCTTACCCTCCCACCCAGCTTTGCGTCATCTTCAAACTTTGAGATATTACTTTCAGTAGCCTCATCTAAGTCATTAATATGTATTGTGAATGGATGGGGTTCAAGCACTGATCCCTGCAGTAGTCACTGGATGATATCAGATAAAGATCCGTTTATTCCCACTCTTTGTTTCCTATCTACAAACTAGTTCTCTGCCCATGCCAGAACACTACCCCCTATCCCATGCGCTTTAATTTTATGTGGTAGTCTCTTGTGTAGGACCTAATGGAAGGCCTTCTGAAAGTCCAAGTAACCTACATTCACCGGCTGCCTTTTATCAACCCGACAGTTAGATCCACTCAACATTCCAGTTGATTTGTGAAGCATGATCTCCCTTTTGTAAATCCGTTCTGAGTCTGTGATCCCTGTCGTTGTTTTCCAAGTGCTCCTCTATTTAATCTTTTTTAAAAGATATTCCCTCCAGTTCTTCCGATAATCTTTCAGGTATTGACTGAATCTTGCTCCTGAAACGTCTATTTCTATTTTAACTCTTATATCGTTTGCCATACAGGACATTTTAGCTGTGTTTTTTCTCACTTTTTTCTTCCCAATTTGCATCTCTATGCATACAGTCAAATTAGACAGAGGAGATGGTGATTCATATTGATAATATCATGACTCATCTGACTGTGACCTCAGCTCTACATTCCTATCTACTGCATATTGCTTTTGAACCCTTTGTCAATGAAGAATCTATCTAACTCAGCCTTAAAAAAAAATCACAGACCTGCCTCTGCTGGTCTCTGGGGAAGAGAATGCTACATATAAAGAACCTTTCAAAAAAACAAAAATTCTCCTCATCTCCATCTCAAAAGGAAGATTCCTTATTTTTCTCTCTGTCCTCTAGTTCTTGTATCTCCCACAAGGGCACATCCTAACGACATCCATTCTGTGAACTCCCTTCAGGGGCATCCTTGCCTTTCTCACCGAAATGTATCTTTGAGTGTTGTGAAATATCTCCCTAAATGTCTGCCACTGCATCATTATTGTCTCACCCAATTAACTTAATTTCACAGTTTACTTTCACCACCTCTGTCATCATAACTTGTGGTTTCTTTTATTTAAGTTTAAAATGCTGATCTTAAACTCACTCTCTCACCTTCAAACTAATGGTGAAATTCAATGATATTATGATCAATGCTGCCTAAGATCCCTTCATTGTGTGGTGATACAGTACCAGGTCTAGACTGGCCTGCTCTTTGGTTGGCTGTAGAATATGCTGCTCTATGAAATTGTCTCAACAAACACTACACACTCATCTTCTAGGTTACCTTTGTCAATTTGCTTCATTCAATCTGTATGTAGGTTAAAATTTCTTGTGATTATCACAGTGGCTTTCTAACAAGACCCCTTTTATTTCTTCCCGTTTACACAGTTTTCCAATGTAGTAACTAATGGGAGACCTCCACACTACTCCCATAAACGATTTCTTACATTTGTTCTTATTTATCTTCTGTACTCAAGCTGATTCCGCATGCTGATCCTTAGAATTAAGGTCATCTTTCACTGTTACACTACCTATAATTATGGCATTCAAACTTACTCAACAGATCTATATCAGTATCTTTTCCGAGCTTCCTGTCTTTGTGAAATGTCAGGTTCCCTTGAATATTCAAGTTCCAGTTTGGCCATTCGTAAATATGTCACTGTCGCAGCTGTCAAGTCATAAGTATTTCTCTTTGAGCTGTTTTGTTATTAATGCTGTGCAAATCCAGTAATTAGTTATTCCTTTTTACTATTTTGCCAACTCTGGCCTTATCTGCTGGTACATTTTTAATTTTGAATACTGTGTTCTGTTGTGCTCAGCTCTGATTATCGTTACCATTACTTGTATTACTATCTTGCTCTATAGCGTTGATCTGTCCCTTTAACCTACTGCATCTTCCTTCATGTGTTTCTAACACCACAATTTGGTCTTGAAATATTTATTCCCTGAACAGAGATTTTTCCTCTGTTAAGGCTTTACCCTTAAATCTGCCTGTGCATTCCCATCAAAACTGGATGTTCCCTGGTAGAGCAATTTACTTTCAACATTTTCTGCTCCTTTCCCATAATTAAGGAGAGTGATATTGTGGTCACTTATTCAGATGACTTCCTACAGTGATGCATTTCTGAGAACCAGATGCGAACATTGCTATTTTTCTTTGTTAGACTGGAAACATATATTCATAAAGAAAGTTCTTCTATACACAACAGAGATTCTCCTCCTTAATCCTCTGATTATACCAGTCTATATTAAGATTGAATGTCCTTTTATTGCAATTCCTTTCTGTTAAATGCTGATTAAATTTGGCGAGAAATGTTCTCATCTGTCTCTTTCTCATTGTTTGTTTGTAATGTTTCAAAGAAAAGTCCTCAGAACAATGCAATTGCTCTCCCTCTGTTTGTTAACTCCGACCAAATGAATTGTGTGAATAAAAGCAAAAGCACGTAGAGAGAGTCACATTTTACTCAAAACATTAACTCTGTTTCTCTCTACACAGGTGCTGCTAGATTCCTGCTAAATTCCTCCAGTCTTTTCTCTTTTTGTTTTAGATTCAGTGCCAAAACCTTTCTATTTAGAATTTGAATATCATTCCTAATTAATATTACCATGCTTCCTCTTTTTTCCCCTCCCTATTGTTCTTCATATTTCTGATTAGCTGTATTTAAGCTCCTGTGCTCGGCCTTGTTTCATTCATCTGTGATAATACCACCACATCATAATCCCAATTAGTTCACAAACCTTATTTGTTAGACTACAGACACTGATGTACACACAATCTTAATATCTGTTTCGTCACTTTTGTTTGTTTTTCCTCAATCTGGCTCCTGTCATTATTTCTAATTACCAAATGTACTCTTCTATCCTCTGATCTCTTTTCTGTTATTTTGTGGTTTCCTTCCCCCTGCCAAACTAGTTTATACCCTCCTCAGCAGTTCTGTTTAGTCTTTCAGCGGGGACATTTGTCTTGGCTTTGTTCAGGTACAATCTTATTACCTTGTATAGATACCATATCCAACAGATCCAGGCCCCATGACCCAAAAATCTGAAATCTTCCTCTTTGATCAAATTCTCAACCATACACTCTCCTGCACTATCTTTCTGTTTCTGTACTCTCTGGCATGTGTCACTGGGACTAATCTTGAGATTACTGCTTTCTGAGGTCTTGGCTCATTATTAATTTATAATTGATTTATAATTTATAATCGGCTCATTAATCTTTAATATTTTACCTTGTCCCTGAAATTCTACGTGAAGGACCTCAATAATTTTTCCACCTGTACTGTTGGTTCCAGCATGAACGAGGACTCCTCCTGCTCTGTGATATACATTTATAGAATTGCCTTGCAGTTCCAGAAGTGCCTGTCCATTCTTCTGGCCATCAAATCCCCTGTAGCCACTGCATTTCTACTCTCCTTCCATGCCTGAAGTCAAATTTCCCATTTTGCTGGAGCTTTTGTTCCCTCAAGGAATAATCACCTTCCCTGGCATTCAAAAATGAAATGTGGTTTAAAAAGTGCTGCTGGCTCGGGGAGTTCCAGCACTACCTATATCCCTTTATCTGGTGATCACCTCTTTGGTGACTTCATGCACCTTCTGTAGCTGTCCTGTCCCCACCTTCTGGAAACTATGTTTGAGGAAACCCTCAGACTTCTGGATACACTGATATTACACTAGCTCCTTCTCAGGCTCCAAAACATGAAGCTTGAACTTGAGCTCCCACATAGAAAAGAGCATGCGTCAGGTCACTGCTGGTTTACAGTAAAGGTCAATCCACTTACCTTGAAATTTCTGAGACCATGACCACTAAAATACATAACATTGATCTCAACAAATCAGAGAAACTGATGTCTGAAGAAACTGACCTTGGATATTAAAATAGTAGAATGTTAACTAAAGGCACTGAAAATAGTATTAGTAAATCTGTACAGAATGGAAACTTCCTTCAAGTTAATTTCAATGATGAAAAATGAGCAAAATGATAAAACAAACCAAACTTAGTTATTACCCACAAATTTGTTCCCTCTGTCGCGGTGATGTCAGCTTTGAATTTCTTTCCCTGTTTTCTGCATTCAGTTTTTGCTCTGATTTTGACTCTATCCTCAGGTTTATTTTCTCCAGTCTTGCCAACAAGCTTGCTGTTTCCTCTCAGGCTCATTCTTAACTGACAAGTAAATATATTTAGTAACGCTTAGCCAGATTTCTTTAAACTAATATGTACCTTGAAGAAATTTTGACGTACAAGACTTTGTAGTATTAAAATTACAGCTGTTTCGGCCAAGTAAAGCTGCTGGTTTCCAGAAATGAATTTTAAATGAATGAAATGATGGTAAACCAAAGCACATCACCTTTTTCATCATTATTTTATAAATAGAATTTAAATGTTGCAGCCACTGTAAACATTTTATTTAGAGTTCTTAATGTTATTTGACTGCACTTAATATTTTGATATTTTTATAGTTAAAGTACAAGATTACATATTAAATCATTTAATAGTGCATCACTAATAAACAAAGCTATTTTTTCCTTTTTCAAAATTGTGAAAGGAACACAAATCCTATGAAACTTTGCATATCTTTGATAGTGGATTTTGAAAACTTACTTGCATTTCCTTTTTATGGGGTCTACCTTATTCTCCCCTGAAGCAGTGCTGCTATTCCAATCAGATCTCTTACTACAAGAAAAGAAACTCCACAACTCCTCAGTGAGGAAGAGATGAATAAACTTGGAGCAAAGATCATCAAAGCAGAGCTGATGGGAAACCTGGTAAGAATTATAATAGTTAATGTCACTAAATTGACAAACAAAGATCATGAATTATAGATGCCTTCAGAGTGATGACATTAAAATACTTTGAATAGACAACCAGATGAAGCTATTGTCAAATTTGGTTTTGGTACCAAGTTTATCTAGGTAGTTCCATTTGAAAATCCTTATCAGTTATTATTTGGATTTTTAATGTACTTCTCTTTCTATTTATTCCAACGCATACATATATTTATTGATACAAGTCTTCAAGCTGAGTGCACTTTTAAACAATTATGTCAGCGACTCTGACTCAGTCAGTAGCAGTTTTTAAAATCCATGTAACTAACCTGTTAAACTAGTTTTTTGTGTTTCTGTGAAATATTTTTATTTTGATAGAGGTTGAAATATTTGATATTAATTTTGAACAAGTCCCATTGCACTCCACATCATTAGCACATATGTTCTGCTACTATATAAAATGTTACTTTGTTTTGTTAAGAACCGTTAATCTGGCTCTCACTTCCCTCTGCACTAAAAATTTCTGTTTGACATATTTTGTTTCTATAAAATGTTGGCCATGTCCATACCTGTCTTATTAAGGTAATCTCTATGATAGCCAAGTAGCTTTTGTATTTTTTCAAGGCTGTGGGATCTCAAATAAGCTCCAACATGTTTTTCTAATTAAGTAAGCATTGGATTATGCGATATTTTGCTGTTATGTTAGGAATTTAAACAAATACTTTTGAATAACTATATTAATGCTCATCTTTATTCATGAAAATTTACATCCAATTTAGGTGCTCATTAAAATCTCTTCACAGTTACAACTGGAAGAGTGATAATGTGTCACTATGATTACAATATTTTCATGTATTTTGTAATGTTGAAAATCTATCTGAGATGGGGGCAGCATGTTGGTTCAGTGGTTAGCACTGCTGCCTCACAGCATCAGTGACCCGGGTTTGATTCCACCTTCGGGCAACTGTCTCTGTGGCATTTGCACATTCTCCCCGTGTCTGCGTGGGTTTCCTCTGGGTGCTCTGGATTCATCCTGCAGTCCAAAAATGTGCAGGGTAGGTGGATTGGCTATGCTAAATTGCCCATAGAGCCCAGTGATGCTTACGTTAGGTGGGTTAGACATGGGAAATATAGGAGTAGGGGAATGGCTCTGGGTGGGATGCTCTTCGGAGGGGCGGTGTGGACTTGTAGGGCTGATTGGCCTGTTTCCATACTGTAGAGGTTCTATGGTTCAATGCCTCCCCTAAGCTACCTTGTAACATACACCAAACCATGAAAATAGTTGCTCACCTCTTATGTAGTGAACTGCTGATATGGAAACAATCTAGTTCTGCTCTCTGTAAATGATTGACTTAACAGCTAAAGTAAATTCAGACATAGAAATATCATTCCTTCAAAGGTTTTCTGAAAGAAGGCTATTTGCAAAAGTTGCATTTTCTTGGACTACATTTAGTGATAGACTATTGCATGTGGTATGATGTATAAATTCATAAACAGTATAGCGTGAACAGATACCATTTTGCCCATTCAGCCTGTGCCCTTCATCAAAGTCATTCCATTTTTGAATTATCCATATCTATGTTTGCCTGTGCCCCTCTGTAAATACTTTGCCACTTGGATATTGTATATATACCATTGTTTATGTGCTGCTATCCTGGTTTTTAGATTGAGAGAGCACTGCCAAATTCCTATCATTGTTAATTCAAAGAGCTCAATACAGGTGAAATATTGACAGTATGGACAGTATTTTAGAGGCATCTAAGTGTTTAGAGCACTGTGAAGGTCCTTATCAAATAAATTGCATAGCTGTGCCTTGTTAGATTCTTACATGTCTTAATGATCAAAGCAGTGGTGAGATCCAGGAATGTAATAGCGATGTCTGTTATTATTACAATGTACAACATTATTCTGTTGTTGATAAGTTGGTTGAATATTCATTGACTGAACCTCAGTGAGTTTGTAGACTTGCTTGGCGAGCTGGTGTGTTTGATTGCAGACGTTTTGTCACTCTGCTAGGTAACATCGTCAGTGTGCTTCCGACGAAGCATTGATGTTCTGTCCTGCTTGTTATTTATATGCCTTGGTTTGCTGGGGTGGTTGGCATCACTTCTGGTTCTATTTTTCAGTGGTTTGTAGATTGTGTCCAGTTCAAGGTGTTTGTGGATGGAGTTCCGGATGGAATGCCAGGTCTCCAGGAATTCCCTGGCAGGTCTCTGTTTGGCTTGTACTATTTTAGATGTATTGTCCCAGTCAAACTCATGTTCTTCATTGTCCGCGTGTACTGAGACCAGTGAGAATTGGTCGTGTCTCTTGGTGGCTGGTTGGTGTTTGTGTATCCTTATTGTCAGTTTTCTTCCCCTTTGGCCTATATAATGTTTCTCACAGTCATTGCATGGTATTTTGTCTATTATGTTAGTTTTATTGGTTGTGGGTGTGGGATCCTTTACGTTCGGCAGTAGCTGTTGTAGGGTGGTTATTGGTTTGTGGGCTACCCTGATACCTAGGGGTCTGAGTAGTCTTGTGGTCATCTCTGTTATGACTACAAGAAGAAGATACTACATGGTCAGACACACTAGTCACCCTACCGTACATCAGAGGCATAACAGAGCAAACTGAGGCATGTAAATAACAAGCGGGATAGCGCTTCACCAGAGGTGTGCTGACAATGTTATCTAGCAGGGTGACAAAATGTCTGCAACCGAACACACCAGCTTGGCGAGCAAGTCTACAACCTCATCCACAACCCAAGCTACAAATCTTCTCAAAAACTTTGAACCTCAGTCTAGGAGCCAGCCGTTTGTTTCATACTGGATAAATTTGCAGTGTCTGTCAGAATGAATTATTAAGTGTAGTTGGTCTTGAGCCTGAACTCCTGTTCAATTTGCATCAGTGTTACGTCTCAAATCTCTCATTTTTGTTTGTCTGTACCTTTGACATCTTGTAGCAATGAAAACAAATTGATATTATAGCATGGGTTGCTCACTATTTATCTTTAATAGTGCATTCCAGACGTTGCATTATCCAAATTTATCTTTTCACATCAAAATAATTTATGCAATATGAGGGACAAGGTCTATTATTTTCCACCGGCATTTTTCTTAGGCGAAAATTTTGTGAACTATGTTTGAAGTATTTTTCTAAAGTAAGTCCAGAATTTATCTTAATTGTCTTTAGAGATAAATCATACAACAGGGAATTCCGAATGAACTGGTCTAATAGCATTAGTACTAGTGGTGTGAGAAATTTTAGCTGTGTAATGTTTCATATAGGAAATTAGAGTCATTGTGTCATACAGCACGGAAACAGACCCTTCAATCCATCTCGTCCATGCCAAGCAGGTATACTAAACTGAACTAGTACTATTTGCCTGTGTTTGGCCCATATTCCTCCAAATTCATCCTCCTATTCATGAACCTGTCTAATTGTCTCTTAAATGTTGCCATTGTACTCACCTCTACCTCTGACCGCTCATTCCATGCATGCATCACCCTCTGTGCAAAACCGTTGCCCTTCAGGTTCCTTTTAAATGTTTTTCCTCTCACTTTAAACCTATGCCCTCTAGTTTTGTACTCCCCGACCTGTAGTGATTGAAACGAGGTCAGCCAGGTGGATCTCATAGAATATGAGTTCCCTGATTCGACCAGGTTAACAGGCCCAATCAGGGAGTTCTCGCTGACAGTGATTGTGGAATCAGTCTTTACCAAAATTCGCTCTGGACTCCAACCCTTAGGTTTGTGTAACACATTGGCTAGGCTGAGAACCTATACTGGGGAATCTCTACTGATTAAGGGTACAACTTCAGTTCTAGTCTTCTACGAGAAGCAGCTGGTTCAGTTACCACTGTTTGTAGTAAAAGGCTCGGGCCCAAGTTTGATGGAGCGAAATTGATTGAGAAAGATTCAACGTGATTGGATCAACATTTTTTTGATTTAAAAAATGGCTGCCTGAGTAAAATCCTAATTGAACACTCGGATGTTTTTCAGAAAGGCCTTGGGACTATCAAAGGAGCCAAGGCCACCTCGCATGTGACCAGGAAGCAATTCCACAATTCTGCAAGGCCTGCCTAGTGCCATTTGCCTTCTGTGCAAAAGTAGGGACAGAAATCAGGAGGGTGGAATGTGAAGGAATCATCAAACCAGTACAGTTTGCTGAATGGGCAACACCAGTCGTACTGATGTGAAGCTGACGTGTCGGTTCACCTGTGTGGGGATTTCACACGAACAGTAAACTGCTTTTCGCAGCTGGATAAATATCCAATTCCTCACATAGAGGACTTGTACTCAAAAATGGCGGGGGTGGGGGTGGTGGCTGTCTGTTACAAAGCTGGACATGAGCCATGCGTACGTGCAATTCCGATTAGATGAGAATTTCCAGAAATATGCTATAATTAATACCCATAAGGGTTTGTACCTATATGCGAGACTACCTTTTTGGGTATTATCAGCCTGTGCCATTTTCCAGTGAACGATGGAGCATGTTTTACAAGGTTTGCCCCAGGTTGCCATTTATCTAGATGACGTGCTCGTAACAGGGAAGACCAATAAAGAGCATTTAGAGAACTTGGACTTAATGCTTAAATGTTTCACCAAGAAAGGTGATGCCTTAGGAGGGAAAAATGTGTGTTCCAGGCACCCCAAATGATGTACTTGGGCTAAACAGTCGACAAGACCAGTTTACATCCATAGAAAGAGAAAGTGAGGACAATTGAAGGAGCCCTGGCTCCCATGTCTGTACCGGAGCTTAGGTCTTTCCTTTGGTTAGTGAATTATTATGGAAAATTCATGCATAACCTGGCATCCATCTTGACACCCTTACATTTGCTGTTGAGAAAGGGTCAGCCTTGGAAATGGTCTCGTAGCCAAAAACTAGCCTTTAGGGAAGTGAAGAATCTGCTGTTGTCGTCTAAGATGTTGGCACACTACGATCCCAAGCAAGACGTGGTGTTAACATGTGATGTTATCCTGTATAGTATCGGGGTAGTGTTGGCTCACCGGTGGCCC